GGATATTATACAAGATGTTTTCGTGACCCCTTATTTCTGACCTTTTGTTCTAATCGTTACTGCTACTGCCTCAACAAAAGTATTAGATAAATTTCAGTAAGTGTGTTCAATACTTTTTCCCTGTGCCATTCCACATTATTACAAATAACTTCATTTCTGGACATTTATGGTTTGATTTCTTTGTATGTATGGATCACTTGGGTTGTTACCGACATCTGGTGAAAAATTCATGTCATTAGCACCTCTAGTAATATATTTACTGAGAAAAATGGTGACGTGTTCAATACTTATTTTACCCGCTGTATGTTTGGAGGGAACAGAAGAACCAGTGTTGAGGTTTTTAACTGCTCTTCCTATCAAAACTCTTGCTTTACTTTTTTACAGTATCAACTTAAAACAGTGCTAATTTGGTCATGATTTTCAGTTTGCATCTTTGAGAAGCCCATGCATTATACATCAAAACATGTTGCTACATCAGCAATGACTTCAGGTAGTGCATAGGCACTACACTCTATCACAATACAATATCGATTTGCTTTGGACGATAAAATGTTTCTCCATACCACAAAGTCTGTCACGATACGATAGTAATTCATACGTCAGTGATTGATACGATGCAATATATCCCCAATAATCAATGATGGGTTTATATCAATTGACATCAGGCATATGATGACAATATGGATCAATGTTTTCATTTTGCCCTGATGTAACTGAATCAATAAACATATAATCAACATTTCGATGTAGATCGATGTATTGCTACACTCCAAGCACCATCTCCAGCTTTGGTAAAAGAAAAAAAAAGTCTTTAAAGCTCCATCAAATATGGAGCCTGTCGGGTGACACTGGATAAAACAAAAAAATTACTTTTGGCCACAATTAAATTTGAGCAGCTGTGTCTCTGTGTGAGACACAGACTCATTATATACGAATGTGTGCACGATACCTCCTGAATTAAATCATATATTTACTTATAAATAAGCATAGTAACTCCATTAGGGAAGTACTCAGTCTGATTGGATTTGGGCATCAATGGGTCAAAGGTCAAGGTCATTTATCATGATTGGTCATATAACACTAGCATTTTTTTCTAATTACTCTACAGTACAAATAAGACACCTGGTTCCAAAAAAGGAAACAAATGGTTATTTTGTAAGATACTGTAAGAGTAACTGTCTGAGGCTGAAGAACAACAGGAGCAAACTGAGACACCAATGGAACATAACGTACAAGTGGCTGATAAGGAGACTGCTGTGGAACCAGAATCAGAACCACAGAGAGGGGAGTTACTTCAAGCTGCAGAACTGGAAGAACAACTGGATTTGTCAACATTGCAACCAGAGGAACCAAAACGTGTTCCCCCAACCTACAAATGAAGAACAACTGACCATTTCTTCTTCTCCACCAGAGGAACCAAAACCATCAACTAAGAATGAAGATGTAAGACCTACTTCCAGAAGACCACAGGTTGGAGATGACATTGAGAACCCTGTAGAATGAGAAAAGTATTACTTCAAAAAGCGTGCAAATCTGAAGCATCAATGGGAGAGGCTACCGTCTGGACAGGGAGATTGGCTGATAGAAATGTGGATAGAGGAGATGATGCTCAAATACCATTATGATGAATATGTTTATGTCTGGGAGGATTAAAAATTGAATTTCTGGGGTTAAGAAATGTTTAGAAATATCCTGATGTGACAATAGATGTTATAACTTCTAAAAACAAAAACTTTTCAGTAAAAAAATCAACAAAAATAATTCTCAAACATCCACATGAAAACTTATCAGTTCTCAAACACAACTGAACATTTTATTAAATAAGGCATCAACATGACAACCTCTTCATGAAGACATTATAATAACTTGTACTTAACATCAGAAAAAAGAAAAATCTTATTTGCATTTGTGGTCAAAACAACAAAGAAAAACAGCTGATCTGAAACAAACAGGCAGGTGGTCAAGCTCCTCACTTTCATCTGAACAAATTTTCTATGTTTCACTTTGATGTGGAGAAGTTTAGAGAGTTAGTTCTACTTTATTTCATGGCAGTTAGCAAAATGCAATAAAATAAAATGTACCCCATTAAGAAAAGGTCCCTCAAACTGCACACACTAGGATTTGTCTAACCCTATTCTAAAAGGAGAGGTGATATTCTGTGAACAATCTTCATCAGCATCTCAACCCAAAGTACCATAATACCCTAACTACTGCAAGGTCAAACTATTTTCCACACTTCACATACAAACAACACTCTACAGCTGTTTAAATTCTGAGAACTTAAGTGACTATATGAGAAGTCTGAATATTAACAGAAACTGTTTTATTCTTGTGTGTGGATTCTCACGTGTGTATTTAAACTTGACTTTCGTCCAAACCTTTGTCCACAAAGATCACAAACAAATGGTTTCTGTACTGTGTGGATTCTCATGTGTTTATTTAAACTTGACTTTTGTCCAAACCTTTGTCCACAAAGATCACAAACAAATGGTTTCTGTCCTGAGTGGATTCTCATGTGTGAGTTTATACTTGACTTTAGTCCAAACTTTTGTCCACAAAGACCACAAGCAAATGGTTTCTCTCCTGTGTGGATTAACATGTGTCTGTTTAAACTTGACTTTTGTCCAAACATTTGTCCACAAAGACCACAAACAAATGGTTTCTGTCCAGTGTGGATGATCATGTGTGTCTTTAATTGTGCCTTTTGACCAAACTTTTGTCCACAAAGATCACAAGTTAATAGTTTCTCTCCTGTGTGGATTATCATATGTGAGTTTAAATTTGACTTTTGTCCAAACCTTTGTCCACAAAGATCACAAGCAAATAGTTTCTCTCCTGTGTGAATTATCATGTGTCTGTTTAAACTTGACTTTCGTCCAAACCTTTGTCCACAAAGATCACAAGCAAATGGTTTCTGTCCTGTGTGAATTATTACGTGTGAGTTTAAACTTGACTTTTGTCCAAACTTTTGTCCACAAAGACCACAAACAAGTGGTTTCTGTCCTGTGTGGATGATCCTGTGTGTGTTTAAATGTGACTTTTGTCCAAACTTTTGTCCACAAAGATCACAAGCAAATGGTTTCTCTGCTGTGTGGATTCTCATGTGTTTGTTTAAATTTGACTTTAGTCCAAATCTATGTCCACAAACATCACAAGCAAATGGTTTCTCTCCTGTGTGGCTTATCATGTGTTTGTTTAGATCACATTTTCTGTTAAACTGTTTTCCACAGTCTTTACAACTAAAAGATTTTTGTCTTGACTGGATTTTCTTGCTTGAGCCTGCAGTTTCCTTCATTTGAACGCATTTCTTACTCACCAAACCTTTTTTAGACATTCTTGAATGACACGTCATGTGTCTCTGAAGAGAACTCTTGTGGACAATTTGTTTCCCACACTCAGAGAAGCTGCAACATTTGTTGACAATGTTTTCACCCGACTCAGGAGCTCCACTCTCCTTCCAGTCTTTGTTATTGTCATCAGGTTCAGATCCAGAGTCTGATACATTTTTCAGTTGAAAGTCAGGGTCATTAACATCCTCATGATCCTCACAGCCTTCAGTCTCWGATGAGCTGGAATCATCTTCATCAGTACTCAGATCTGGGTTCCTGGTAGTTTCTGCTCCTCCACAGTCCTCTCCACCAGTTGCTGCTTTCATCTGGTCAGCTGAGCTGCTGTCTAGTCTAGGTATATTCATAAAAAATACAGTCTGCAGTTAGTTAAAGAAAGTTTAAACTAGTTAGCTGCCATTTACTTATTTAAAGGCAGATGCCTGTTCTTATAAAGTTATTTAATGAGCAACCTTCAATGGTCTGATAATGGGATGATAATAACTGGGCAGTATGTACTGGTTGGTACCGAAAACTGCTTTTTATTTTCGTTATTGTATGAATTTTCACCAACATACCGGTTTAAATAATCTGAACATGTTTGGAACAATCAGTCACACTTGCAGTAATCTGGTTTATTAGGCCTGTCACCATAACAAATTTTGCTGGATGATTAATTGTCTCAGAAATTATTGCGATAAACGATAATATTGTTTGGTGACCATTTCAAAACTAATATAATGATAATAGTGTAATAATGCAAAGGTCAATAAACTTTAATTTTAAAGAATGTTTAACAAAATGGACTCTCAGTCTCTAACAAAAAATGCACTTGAATAAAAAAAAAAAACAAAGAACAACAATATGGAAATTAAACACCACACACAACTGAAACAATTAATAAACAATATATCAGGATCTCATACTGACATCTTATCTCATAATTATGAGATCTCTTCTCGTAATCATGAGATAGGATCTCGTAATTATGAGATCAGGTGTCTAATTTCTTATTTGGTGAATGCAATGCTCTTCCATACTTCCGTACTCTTGATCATATTTACTTGGTCTATTTTATGTCAATGAAACATCCCAAACATTTTTTCCCCTAACTGGCATCATTATGCGTACCGTAGGTAGAGGGTTAAACGAGACCGTTCTTCTCCAGAAAGCTCGACATTTCTTCCACCGCTGCTGCCTCCAGCCGTTGTTTATCCTGCTGTAAACATCTCTGATGGATTTCGTTTAGCTAAAAGTTTCCCTCCTGTGGGTCTTCTTCTGGTCCTGTTGTTTCTGCTGCAGAGGTATAATTTGCTCAGCAGCGACGCCAACTGTTTAAAAGAAGAACTGCAGCGAATGAAGACAGAAAACTATGGGGGGCTTTTTTTATTGAATTATTTTTTATTACATTCATTAAGAACAATCTCAACAAAAAAAAAACCTTCAAAGTATCTTAATATGAATCAACCTTTTAATTTTGCCATGATGTGAATGAATTAAACATATACAATCAACATATAATGTAGATCAACAAGTTACACCCCTTTGATTTAAAAAAATGTCTTAAAACCTCCATTAAATATGGAACAAAATAAATAAATAAATAAATAAATAAATAAATAAATAAATAAATAAATAAATAAATAAATAAATAAATCTGCCACAACAGCCACAAATTAGTTTTGAGCAGCTTTGTGTAAAACACAGACATTGTTGGGGCCATTTTATAAATGAATGTTGTGTTTAACTGTCAAAGGTGCCCCACATTTATTTAGTTTTTATTTTTTGCTTATGTCAAAGTATACCTCAGTGGTTCAATCCAAGTAGTTTATTTTTCATAGTATTTAGGAGATGACACTAAAAGCCCAAAATGTGTTGGGAAAATCTTAAATTTTTTTTTACTGTTCCTGAACGTAACGTAACTCTGTTTCCTCAGCAAAGGCATGGGGAGCAGGAGGAGCCTGTTTTAAATGTTGAGCTTCAAAAAGATGAAGGTTTGTGGACAAAGACAACTCCAGTCATCACGTGTCTCATAGCTGCAAACATACAGTATGACACTGAGTGACTTCATGCCTCACTAAGTCACTGAAGGATGCCAATCATTCGTATTTTAAAATGAAACAAAATGAATTCAAACTTAATCATGCTAACCATCAACAGTCTGTGCGGAAATGACTGCAATAATTATCTCATGCATTAAATCTTTTGTATCCAGTGCTGCTGGACAGACCCCATAAAAACTCCCTACAGTCATTTTTCATCACCGTCAGGAGCAGTGTGATGAAAAGTGAATTTTGGGAGGACTGTGCCAACAAAACTCACAATGAAGTGAGACACAGGTGTCTGATTACTGTGGCGGCCATATTGACAGCAGCTATAAGTTTTTATTTTCTTCTTTACACTTCATATACTTGGAAGGGTGAATTTTTATTTCCAAATCCCATATTTCATAAGCTAACCTTTTACCAAACTGGGAACCTGCTGGTGTTGTAGATGGAAACGTTACCCTGACTTTTCCACCATCCATGTTCAATCAGTATATTCAACTTTTATTGATTGAATATTAAGTGACCAACCTGTATTTTTTACACCCAGAACGTTTATATTTGAATGAGTAGGTTTATATCAGTAGTGCTGTTCAGATAATTAGACATGAATGTACCACATGTCTAATTATCTGAACAACACCACTGATGAACTCTGTTGTTTTAAAGGAAACAAAATCAAGAAGAAAACTTTTGTCATCCCCAAAGTCTCAGATTTAGTCTAGTTTTATCCCAAACATTTATTTTTGTTTTTATAATGTATTTTTGTACATCCAAACCTTTTGTTTTTCTATTTGAGCAAAACTTTACAATGCCCTATTTTCTTTGTATATTGTTTTCATCCTGTTAGTTTTAAAATCCTCATGACTTTTATCAACGAAACGCTCAGTTCCAAACAAAACACCTTTTTTAATACACCTCCAATCTTTCTGCACGTCTTTATTCATGTCTTTTTAACTTTTCAGCATAAAGATCATGAAAATTTAAGTGTATTAAGAAGTTTAAGAGATTCGTGTTGCAGTTTTGAGGAGGGGAAACGGACATTAAAAGCAAAACCAATGACCTCTGCTGGAACCAGTCTGTGTGTATATCTGTAGTTTTTGCTGTAATGTATTTAGAGACATTTTGTAATCATGTGGGGAAATATATTGGACAATTATCTGGGATTGCATGGGTTTATTAGGTTTTTTTGTTTGTTTTGTTTTTATTAGGGACATGTTGGCATAACTTTTTTATTTTTTACAAAATCTGAAAAAGATCTGGACGTGTTTTTAAATCGTGACATCACAGGAGGTTGTGATGCAGACGACGTCACAGGATATCTCAACATTTGCAGTGAAACTGCATCGATTAAAGCAAGTAAAGGCACGTCACAGGAGCTGTGGTTTGGGAGGGGACTATAAGCCTGTTTGTAAAATATTTTGTAAATTACTCTCAGCATGGTCTTCAGTGAGGATAAAGCACTCTGTTTACCATAGTTTAATGAGCTGCGGCCAAAACAGGACACACCTGCTGCTTGCAGTTCACACAAACTCCACAATATTTAGCCTTTAGGTGGACAGAATATTGTAAACCCCATTTTAAAAAAGTGAAATAGAGCTGTGTGTCTAATCTTCGTCATCACTGATTTTCTTTTCATGCAGATAAAGCTGCACAAGATGCAGAGTAAGATGGATGGATGGAGCTTATTGTCTCAGTTACAGCTTAGGACCTATAGGTCGTATAACCCTGAAGTCATCGAAATTTAAAAAAATGTGTAAAATAAGAAATTGAAACTTTAATGCAATGCAAAATGTGTGTGATAATTGAAGAGGTGTTTTCTTACAGTTCATCAGTGAAAAGGGGTACCTTTTTCAGGGAGTTAGTAAAAAAAGTGTGTATTTTCAAGGCTAGATTAGTGAAAAGGGTATAGTTTTCACAAAGTCCTTGGTCAGTGCTTGTGGGGGGGGGGGGGGGGGGTCATAAGGTCCTCGGTAAGGTAGTTATTTAAAAAAAACAAAAAAAAAAAAAAACAAACGAAAAGAACTACCATACCCAGCTACTTCTGGACCAGCGCTGACAGCTGCACTGAAGAAAGTGACCACCAGGGGTCGCTGTGGTTCACGTAAATTTCAGGTCGTTTTCCGGTGACAGCTGAGGGAATGACAACACTAACAACAAACCAACAGTTAGGGCCTCACTGCACCAGGTTAACTACAAAACATCGGTAAAAGTAAGGTTTCTGTGTTTATTATTACGTTTTATCGTTCATAAGAAATACCCGTTTAGAGAGAATAGTAGCGATACCAGGAAGTAAGCACGCCAGCTCACGAGCCTGTTCCTTGTTCATTTTATACTTGCTAAGCTAGCTTACTTAGCTTCCAAGCTAACAGTTTTGGATCTCATTTGCGTTCTTTAACAGGTGAAAAGTCAGGTTGAAAGCCCAGCAGGCAAGTCTCCGCCTTTAGGACTTGGTAATAACCGCACTAACAGTATATTTATTTTCTGTAAACTCAGCTTTTGCTGCTCTGTTCACCTCATTGAAATGTTGTGACACTGATTGTTGCATGATTTGCTGTGTGTCTGTTTTGTTTTGCTTTTGGAAGCAGGAACCGGTTTGATTTGGGAATCAGACCTCTGCGTTTGTTTGTTTATTATTATTATTATTTATGCCCCTCTGGGATCAACAGCTGCAGGATGGCAGATGACAAGGATGTATTGAGAGACGTTTGGTTCGGCCGGATACCCACCTGCTTCACACTCAACCCGGATGAGGTTACAGAGAGAGAGGCTGAACCCTACTATGCAAGTACTACTGCTTTGATTTATTTGACCTGCAGCATGCATCGTTTTCAAACATCAGCCACAAGTTGTTTCTCACTAGGAAGCAATGATGTGGCAGATGAGTAAGTCTTTTTTTGCACAAAATGTCTGCATTTTAATACTTTCTGCAAACACTTTGCTGTTGAACAAATATATGCTAGTGTTTTCTTGTTGAAATGGCTTGTACTGGCTCATGTTTGGACACATTTACATTATGCAAATATAACGACCACTGCAGGAATCACACCAGCACAGTGTTCATTAATGAATCGGACATCAAATAGCTGAGAAATGCACTCTAACAAAATATAAATGATCTAAGCAAACACTAATCCAGGCAATCAGAATCAGAGGTGACTAAATTTCCTATATATTTAAAGAAATAATACTTACTACCAAATAAGTATGCTTTCTTTGATGACTTGATAATTTTCTTACTACTCCCACTGATTTTATTAAGAAGAACGTCACAGTTTATGTATTTTTGAAAGCTTTACAGCCATTTAAAACAATACAAATACAATTCATTTACTGGTTCTTGCATTGCAAATTGGTAGAAGCTGGTGACTTTTGTTTACAGACCTTTTAGAGTTTTTCTAGTGTGTCTTTTTTCAGACAAGTATGTAAACGCAGTGTGGAAGTTCATGTATTACGGTGAGACTGTTTTAATAATGTGTTTCTTCCTCTTGACTTTTTTTAGCTGCTGCTCCCCAGGGTGAGCTACCTGCCACTGGTTACAGACAAAGTGAAAAAACATTTCCTCAAAGTGATGAAGGCAGAAGACGTGGAGGAAATGTGGTTCGAGTATGAAGGAACACCACTGAAGTGGTAAGAAATGGACTGGGCTGTTACATAATGGCTGATTGATTAGACTAAATTCAAAACTGTTTGTTGTTATTGGACGAAGCAAATCAGTTTTGCTTTGCAGACTCATGTAATCATGTTCCCCAGTACATGACATCACAACATCAGATACTAGAAATGAGCTGTTTATTATGGTTACCTTCGGTTTTCTGGACGGGTTCTTCTCTAATGAAACGTTTCGTCTCTCCTCCAAGAGACTTCTTCAGTCTGAGAGTTTCAGGCAAAGTTCAGGCTTTTAAGCCCTGCCTCCATGTGACTGATACTCACATGGAGGACACAGACAGGATTCCATGCAACCTTCAGGTGAAAATGAAGACCCCAAACCCAGACCCAAACCAGTGGTTATTCCGTAT